TACAACTGTGCTTCTTGAATGTCAAATGAAACAGCACGCACACACACACACACACACACACACACCTATGTATATATATATATACACACACACACACAAACACACATAATATACATGTATAATTTTAAAGCACACCAGCAGGCACGCCCGCACGAACGCTGGGGACTCTCATGGTCTAGAGGTACCGGTACAGTGTTCGCCTCTCATTCAATAGGTCCCGGGTTCAAAACCTTAGAACGTTCTATTATCTTTTCTCAAAAGATGTTCTTCTTTCGTCTCCTTTCCTGCTCTCTAATCATGTTCTACCGCTTGCTTTCGTGTCCACTTTCTGTCCCTTTCCCTTTTGCCCCTCGCTGCATCGCCTTTCTGGGCTCCTGACCCTTTCTTCTGCCTTACTACTGCTACTCCTTTGCTCCAACTTACCGCTGTTTTTTAGCCACACTCTTGATCTTAGAGTAGGCAAAAACATCCATCCATCCATCCATCATCCATCCATCCATTCATCCATCCATCCATCCATCCATCCATCCATCCATCCATCCATTCATACATACATACATACATACATACATACATACATACATACATACATACATACATAGAAAATCTACATACATACAAACATTCATACATACATGCATAAATGCATACACGTATACAGGCATACTCGCATACAGGCATACATGCATACAGGTATACATGCCTACATGCACACAGGCTTACATTCAGGTGAGGAAGGCCTCGTTGTCAACGGCAATAACCGACTTTTCTTTTACCACCGTTTTAAGTCTCCATTGGTGCCTCCATTGATAATAAGTCATGAAACCGTACGCCAGGTCCCAAATCAAGTACTGCGCGAGACAGCCTCCACCAATCCCTTGTTAATCCAAAAATAATGTCCAAGCACGACGTTTGTGTGGGAAGGGACTTGTTGCCCGCCATGTCAACACGGCCCTCCGGTTCAACAAACCATTGGGGTCTTGATGGTAAACAGAAGCTGGGTGGTCTAGAGGCAAATGGGGATCTAAAAGGAGCTGGGGCACACAATTCTCTGGGAGGCTTAGAGTAACTGATTTTCACACAACCTGCCTTTTTTAAACCTTAAACCATTTGCTGTGCGTTCTTGGTTACAAGTGGAAAAAGTAAAGGTTGGGGTGAGGATGGGGAAGGAGTGCTATTTTGATTTACAATGAGCTGAAGTATCACATTGGTTTATAACAAGCCTAAATACAAAACAGCACCTCAATATTTTCGACGTTATTCCAGGTTCCCTTAAAATATGGTTAATTGGATAAACCAACTTCCACCAACCTTAGGGCTCTATAAAAATTAAGAACTCTGAATTGAAATAACAAAAAGTGTCATATAATTTCAAGAAACTCGAGGGCGTTAGAGGCGTGTATTTGTCGCCAGTTGCTGTTGTGTATTAATTGCAATCTATTCATTTGCAAGTCCACGCTGCAAAGCGCTTACTTGATTTTTAAAAAGCTTAGAAATAATATAAAATGACATAGCACGTGCACGGCGTATTGTCAAACGAGCTTTTCGCGTGAATCTGGACAGATGGTACTCTAATCTTTAGAAGAACAACAACTTTACCATCACTCCGTTGTCTTTTCCATTGTGGCGTCAGGGATGTTAAAGGAACGGTGAGCTGGCAGTCAGTGGCAAGATGGAAGGCTTGATGTGGGTGGGTTGTTGCAGATCTTCAGAGAGTCCATCACGCCGTCGACCCAGCTTTTCCCTGGTCTTCCTCTTGTGTTCATCCCTAACGTCGTCAAGTTGTACTCCTCAGTGACTAGCTGATGGTGCCTTTCGAATCGGACGTCAAGAACATCTGGGCTACTTGCTGCTGGATTTGATGCTGGGCAGCTATTGCTGCAACTGTTTCTCTCATTTTGCTGTTTTCGTCCATGTCTTATCTTTGTTGTTGTTATTTTTCAATCGTGTCTTATCTTGTCTTGTTGACGGCCCTCTTCTCCAAGAAGGTTCTCTTTTCCAAACTCCCTGAGGGTGCTGTCTTTTTTATCTTACTGACTTGCTTGTGATGAGGTTCACTGATAATATATTAATGTTGCCTGGTGTTTTGCTATCCATCTTTGCCATGGTCGTGCTGAAGCCGATCCACATAACATTGTTCTCACAAAGCGTGGTCTTGCTGTTTACTCACTCCTAAAGTCTTAGTTTCTCCCCTTTTTCATGCTGGAGGCTGCCAGGTTCTAAAGAAGAAAAGAAGAATTGCTTAGAAATACAGCGTTAGATTTATAATTTATAGTAACGAAGTTCTAGCCCGTAATGTGATGGAAACACTCCCAGTCCGTGTTGCCTCCCCCCCCCCCCCCCCCTCGTCATTATTTTAAAAATCTTTAAAGATCCATTTATTTTAGTCATACAAGCGCTTTAGTAGAATCAGGTGGTCATCCCCGTGTCGGTGTGCTCAGAAGACTCTCCACGCAGAGCATGAGTCCATTCTCTCATGAACGACCCAAAAGGAAATCTTGGTGGACTGGACACACAGCTAACTTCTTCAGAACATGAGACCCAAAGCATAATCTCATTAATAAGTTACTGAAAACTGAAAACGGACTGTGGGAAACAGAGGGGGGGGGGGGGATTTTAAACTAACTATTTGAAGTAGAAAAAAGGACTTTACAGTTTCCGTTTAACATGTATACGTTTGTATTTTATACAGAGCAGTGTTATAAAGGTTTACGTTTTCGAAAGCGAAAGCCAAAACTGCTCGCATTGTTTTCAGGCAAAAGTCTGTAATGCCCTTCCTTCCCCCTCCTTCCCTTTCCTCCTTTCCTTTTTTCTCCTCCGTCTTCCTGTATTCTTCCTCCTAAAACACTCTTCCCCGGTCTTCAGGTGCACCCCGCCTACTTGAAAAACTTTATTCCTGTGCCTGGCCTCAGCGACGTTGAAGGGGTAAACAATCAACACTCGCTGCACCGCCTTGTCCGGATGCGTTTAACACGTAGGCCCCGTCGTTCGGATATCGGGCCAGGCATTTGGACGAGGTGAAAATACACAGTCAAACAAACGTTTTCTCGAACAAACTATTGTTTGATTCTCCGATGTTGTGCGAGCTGGTTTTGTCAATACCAGTCGGAGTATAAAAGGTTTGGAAAGCAGGGATGTTGTCTCGAAAGACATGGTGAGAACCACATTTTCTTTGGCATGGAGTAGGTTGTGTGAAACCACATATAGCGGGATTGATAGTTGTGTGTTAACAATCCGCTTTGACTCCAAAGAGTCGGCGTGACACTGATACCAAGCATTAAATCAATTTCTTTTGCCCAGTGATTTAAAAAAAGAAAGAAAGAAAAAAGAAGAAAACTCATCACTTTCTTAAAACCCCGACCCGAAGCAAGGGGACAGACAGCTACTCATTGTATATCCTACTCTCTGAATTAAAAAAATATAACTTTTAACTTGAGAACTTGATCACAGCAGTGTCAACAGCAACCGCCACTATGAAAAACGTCCATTTCTTAGTCATATTTTTGCTATCAATAAACGCAATTTTGTTGTCAAATGCTCAAAACGCTGGGCTGAAGCGAAGTCCGTTCAAACCTCCAGGCGGGGGAGATTACAGACCATCATCAAAGTCCAACAACCAGGGTTCTGATGGACCACCTAGCAAGGCTGCTAAACCCAACAAACTCAGATCGGTGGGCGAGGACCCCCCAAAAAGTCCGTTCACGCCTCCACCACAAGCCAACGTGAGGAAGCCGGAGCAGCCAGCACCACCCGCCGTCCCCGAGGCTCCAGTCGTGAAAAAAGAAGGTACGATAGATTTGTGAATAATCCCATAGCCTAAGAGAACTGGAGAACGTGATTTAATGACGTACAGTGCATGTATCAGTGTTGATACTCCATGTATCAGTATTATTATTGTTCTGAGACTCTTCAGGTGAAAAGGTATACTCTTTCATAGTTAAAATAGAGAACTCGCTACCTTAGAATACAAAGTTCTGTAATACATTTTTGGCCTTTTTATAGTTCTAATTAAATACCTTGAGGATAGAAACCAAAATAATGTTCTATCTGCACTATCAAAATTGTGAGATTATTTGGAGTCGCTATTAAGATATTCAAAGAATTGCATTCGAAAAAGCTTGACTTGCGAAACCCAAAAATTGTTAGATCAGTTTTCTGAAAACTAGGTACTGAGCAGAAAGAACTTTGTAGTCTAGGATAGCGAACTGGCTAACGTGCTAAAAGATGCACAATGCATTGATTGATGTTTATACAATTAGTTTTTCTTTGAAACTCATGAGGTGGAAAGTGATGGTAAGGTGTAGTCTTTTATAGTCAGATCAGAGAACCGACGAATGTTTAAAATATTTGCAGTGCATGCATCGGTGTTGATAACATTAATAATACATTGTAGACCTATTGGCTTTTCGCAATGATCTTGGTGTAAAAAGAAAAGTGGTGATAAGTTGTATACATGTAATTTAGTGACCAAAGTTGTGATCGGAAATAGATATTTCAAAAGATAGACAGTTCCTGAATCAGTGTTGATTATATGAGCTTTTGCAGAACTTCTGATGGGGAAAATGATTACAGAATTAACGTTGTTGTCTTCGGGCTTTAGATTTTACCTCTGGGAAAAAATAAGAAGAGAAATAATGTGTACTGTTTTCAAATACATATACACGTATATAGTTATACATCATTATTCTGGTGACCATCTGCCTACTTTGATAACCATGACCATCGTCTAGATTGTACCACTTTCACACAAACACACACACAAACACACACACACACACACACACACACACACACACACACACACACACACACACTTCTCCTCTCCTCGCTCTCTTTCTTTCCATCTCTCTTTATTCTCTGCTCACCCCCTCCCCCCCTTACCCCCAATCCCCAATTATAAACCAGTGTGATTATTTTATACCCCTTTGTTATATCTTTAAGGGGACTGGCTGCATCGACCCTGCATGTCAGGGTTACTCGGGTGGAGGTGGATAGCGCACCCAAGCAGCCAGACGTAATACCCAATAAATTAACTTCTCCACACGGAAATCGAACTTGCATCTTTTGCATGTAGCTACAAAGAAGCTCATCATTACATCACACACGAGTGGCCCCGGAGCTCATTGTGAAGTGTAGCCTCACTATTATTAAACTGATTTGAAAAACATGATTAATTGTTAGGTTCTCATAATTGGTTCATTGAAAAACATAATTGTTAGGTTCTCATATTTTGTTCATTGACAAGATTTAGGGAGACGTTCGGATTGCATGTCATCGCCATCACCAGAGTTTTCGTAGAAAGGTTGTTTTGTTTTATTCTTCTTTTTTTTTTTGATACCGTCGAAACTAATGGATATGTCGAAATTGTCAAGTTTTGCAAGCGTTAAAGATCACTTTTTTTGTTTGTTTGTTGGGGGGGGGGGGTATAGTTTAAGTTTAAAAAAAACCCAACCCAACAACACAAAAAATAGAGCAGACGGGCCAGATTACACCCGACGTTTGGAAAAGAAACGTTATTCTATGAGGTGGGTATAATGGCTATACTTTGCCACGCCTCGAGCCAGCACCAAATCTATTTTCCTTTTGTGCCCTTAAATGCAGTCCACGGAGAGCTACCTTGAAGATTTGCATACCAAACATGGCGTCAGTGGTGTAGCAATTATGTTGTTGTGTCATAAACGGATGGTCATAGGTTCGAACTCCGTAATTATAGGAGCTCAACGTTGTGTCTTTATATTGGGACTGGCAGTTTAGGCGAATTTTCCTAGCTTCATCCAAAGAGAATGGGTGCCTGGCTATAGATGCCAAAAGATCCTGCTAGTTTGTGTGTGTTGGAATGCCTCACTTGATGCTTGTACTAATATAGATTAAATCCCGAGAAACCGAGAACATTTCCAAGTGTTCTAAGATCTACTAGGGTAAAAATAGTCATAAAGCGCATAGATTTATAATAATAATAATAATAATAATAATAATAATAATAATAATAATAATAATAATAACAATAATAATGATAATTATAATCATAATCATGATATGGCAGTTTTATTTTATAGCGCTTAACCTCTATTAAAGACCATAGGATCTGACCGCTTTCCATTACAGCAGTAACATAAAATATTGTGTTCTGACGAAAAGAAACTCTTATTCATCTCATCAATTTCAAAACAGAAACGACGTCTTAAGTCAAAGTTATGTCGAGTGCACACTGCCAATCGCATTCATTTGATTCAGTCAGGGACAGCCCTATTTTTCTTCATCGAGGGGCAAAAGTTATCATTTTTTGGCACAATAGGCTACGGCCGACTCCATAAACGACCTTGAAAAACAAAAGAGTTTGATTCTGAAGGTCATAATCGAATGTAGTCAAATTTGGTCGAATTTCGCCAATATGACAGATTTTGTCCCATTCATAAAGGTAAATCTGGCTGACCCTGGCAGAATAAAATGAATTCGATTGACAGTGTGCGCTGGGTATAAAGTACCCCCGTTCTAAGGAATCTTGCGTCATTCTCTTTTAAGTGAACCCTCTAGATTTTTGGGGATCAGCTTAACCTGTCATAATGATTAGGAAAATGAATAGCTTCTGTGCTAAAATAATGTGGACGAACAAAAGAGACCGAAGGGGGAAAAAGGGTGGGGGGG